TTTGGCTGAACAAAGTTTCAGGTGTGTTTCATCAGCAGGTGTGTGTGTTTCAGGTGATGCCTCCTCAGTACTTGGAGCAGCAGGATGAGAGCAGCTCCGGCAGCGTTCCCGTCACTCCGGTCAGCCACGGCGCCGAGCTCAGCAGCAGCAGCACGCTCAAAGGTCACACACCTGATACCTGTCACACCTGCACACTGTGTGTGTGACTTCTGATGCGGCTAAAGGACTCTTGGAGCTCATTGGCCCTCCTCTTCCTCCTACAGGTGTGTCCCCCTCCCCAACCACCCTGTTGGACCGTTACAGCTCACCGCCGGCCAGCACGGCTCGCCGCCGTCTCTTTGTTGACCCCGTGGACAGCGAGCCCGGCCTCGCCTCCAGTGGCTCCGCCAGCACTGCTGTCGCCAAGCCCACCCAGGCGAGCCTCGTTACGGCCATCCCGGCGGGGCAGACTGTGGTCACTATGGCAACTGCCACCGTGACCGCCAACAACGGGCAGACAGTGACCATCCCGGTGCAGGGTGAGGGTCAGAAAACACGAGCCCGAAGGTGAAGGTGAGAAACGGCACGCTCTGACCTTTGACCTCTCTGCAGGGATAGCCAATGAGAGCGGAGGGATTACCTTCATCCCGGTGCAGGTGAGCGTGACAGGACAGGCTGGTGCCGCTCTGCAGCCGCTGCCCCCGCAGGCGCTCGCCGGCACCATCGCCGTCCAACCAGCCACTGTCAAGCCGGCCCCTAAACCGGCCGGCGGCGCGCTGAGGAAGGGCTCGCTGTCACTGTTCTTCAGGAAGGTGCGTGCTCATGCACATGCTCAGTGCGGCCCTGCTTCCGCTGTGTAGGTGTGATTCATTTACCTGCGGTGTTTCCTCCCAGGTGTACCACCTCGCCAGTGTCCGCCTCCGAGACCTGTGCGCCCGGCTGGACATCATGCCGGAGCTCCGGAGGAAGATCTGGACCTGCTTCGAGTACTCGCTGGTCCACTGCACGGACATGATGATGGACCGACACCTGGACCAGCTCCTCATGTGTGCCGTCTACGTCATGGCCAAGGTCAGTCAGGTTCTTCATCGTCGTGACAACGAGCTCAGAGATGAAGGTAGATGTTCAGAGACTCACAAAGAAGACGAGCAGGTTCAGTTCAGAAAGGCCAGAGGTGTCCCA